CGGCAGAGAGATGCTGCGGAGGAGGTGAGGCAGAGAGACAGAAGCCAGTAGGATGAACTATCCACCAAGATTGACATATTATTTCTATATGATATGTGTTTCGTCCTGAAGGAAGGACTTCCGGCCCTCCTGGACCCTCAGGCAGTCGGAGCCCATCGCTGGGAACTATTACCCCATCAACTCCCGTGCTTTCATCAAGGTAATAATAATAATACATTTATTTTATATCGGCGCCTTTCAAGAAAAAAACAAGATACACAATAGATAACACCAGCATAAGAGACATAAACAAGACAATGCAGTATATAAATCAATCAAATAACCAAATCAATAAAAACAGAGGATGTGTGATGGATAATGATCAGGGTGGATAAGCGAGTGTGAAGAGATGTGTTTTGAGGCGTGATTTAAAATGGGGAGAGAGTCAGTGTTGCGGATGTCAGGTGGGAGGGAGTTCCAGAGGCGGGGTGCAGAGCGGCTGAAGGCTCTAGACCCCATGGTGGTTAGGCGGAAGGGGGGTGCAGTGAGGCTGAGGGAAGCAGAAGATCTGATGGGTGTGTTGATGTGCAGGAGGTCGGAGAGGTACAGAGGAGTGAGGTTATGGATGGCCTTAAAGGCGAGGAGCAGAATCTTAAAAACGATACGGGATTTGACGGAGAGCCAGTGAAGCTGAAGAACAGGAGAGATGTGGTTAATGGAGGGGGTTCTGGTGATGATGCGGGTGAAGGTGTGTGTGTTCCTTTCAGAGGAACTATAGCAGCTTTGATAAGGGTCCACTTGGTTAACACAAACTATGAGAAGATATGTGCGTAAATGGCTATAATCAAACAAGAAGGCACCGTCTTGCTTGAAGGTAGGGTAGGTAAGAATGGAGAAACCAGCTCGAGTGCCGAACAGAGCCCCTCCCCCAACACACACAAACGCACACATGACCAATGAGGGCACGAGATGAGTTTGTGCCCAGATGGAAGGCTGACAGGCAGGTAGGCCATCCAGTTACTTTAGCCGGCGCCACGGCTTCCACAGATGACAGATTGTCAAAGCATTTAATGTTTGTTTTTTTAAATACATGATTTAGTGTCCTCTCGTCTCACTCTTTTAAAACTGTGTGTGTTCAGGATGAAGAGGACCAGCTCACTGTGGTGACGGATCGCTCTCAGGGAGGAGGCAGCATCCACAATGGCTCTCTGGAGATCATGGTGAGACACACACACACACACACACACACACACACACACACACACACACACACACACACACACACACACACACACACACACACACACACACACACACACACACACACACACACACACACACACACACACACACACACACACACACACACCACACACACACACACACACACACACACACACACACACACACACAGCGTAATAGCAGGATGATGCTCCATGTAGCCCTTAAATGCACTTTTACTAAATAACATAAATCAAGGAAAATAATGCTAAAAATAGAATGCGCGGTATTTTATAAAGTACTTATTTATCATACTCAAATACAACCATTAATATAAAATAGTGTGTATATCTAATTTGGATGTCTAAAAATGTCTCTTTTCATTCAAATCTTGTCTAGTTGTGATGCTTCTCATAAGGCTTAGATTCACATCCTGATAATCTATACTTCTTTTAAACGTTTTTGTTCAATTTGGCTTAAAATCACACAGTTTTTAGTCCCTTCAACACATGCACTGCCTCCCTATATGACCTCTCCCCCCCAGCTGCACCGCCGCCTGCTGTACGATGACGTCCGCGGCGTGGCCGAGCCTCTGAACGAGACGTCGGACATCTTCCCCGAGGGCCTGGTGGTGCGGGGGGGCATCCTTCTGTCCCTGCAGCCCCCCCCCCGCGCTGCGGACGCTCACAGACCCCTCGCCCAGCAGGTGGTCCTGCAGCCGCTCCTCAGCTTCACCGAGGGGGAGCTGCACCCTGACACCCGCCTGGAGGTGAGTCAAATGATAATAATAACAACAGATTAGGGGGGGGGGGTAGTAATCAGAAAAGGAGCTGGCCATCAGTAACAGACATTCTTATTACACGGTTTAGTTGAATACTCGATTCTGATTGGTCAATTCAGAACATGTGATACGTTGTTACTCCAGTAGAACAGACCGCTGTCAAGCACTGTAATGACCGTTGCTAAGGAGGATCGAGAAAGAGAAAGGAGAAGAGGTTGAAATAAAAACAAATCTTAATAATTAAATGTTTGCTCACAAATCATAATGTGTTGCTCGTTATTTGGCGCTGCTGTAACAGGTCTGAGGGTTCAGCAGCCAGGTATATATTGCACAGTTAGTAACGGCACTCGTTGCACCTATTGGTTGGTATTTAACAACAAGGGGTGTTATAGCCTGTGTTATTGTGTGTGGGGGGGTCTACCAGGGGCGGTTATATAGTAAGAGACTTTTATCTCATTTCGATTTTTGTATTCCCAAGTTTAAGATAAAAAAAAAAAGTACATTTATAAGACATACTCAATAAGCTAAAGGAAGCTTGAGAATAGAGGCTCAGACACTAACCATAATGTATGTACGATATATATCGTTAAGAATTGGAGAGTTCATGTCCAAGCCCTGCATAACATCATCTACAACAAACCCCACCCTAACTAGAACCCCTAAAGACTCATCTACTCTAACCCTTATTTAATCTGTGTGTGTGTGTGTGTGTGTGTGTTGTGTGTGTGTTGTGTGTGTGTGTGTGTGTGTGTGTGTGTTGTGTGTGTGTGTGTGTGTGTGTGTGTGTGTGTGTGTGTGTGTGTGTGTGTGTGTGTGTGTGTGTGTGTGTGTGTGTGTGTGTGTGTAGTTCTCGGGGCTCCAGGCTGCACTGCCCCCTGCTGTTCACCTCCTCACTCTGACTCAGTGGGACGAGGACTCTCTGCTGCTCAGACTGGAGCATCAGTTCCAGACAGGAGAGAGCAAAGTGAACTCAGAGCCTGTGACCGTCAACCTGCAGGTACACACACCTGACACACACACACCTCACACACCTGAGACACCTCACACACACCTGCTACTGACATACAGGTAAAAGAATAATGAGTTATTAGGTTAGTTTTCTTTTAGGTACATTTCTGTTTAATTAAACCCAAACATCTGATTGTTTTAGCCTCTCTGTGTTTCGTGGACTTTATAGATGCATGATTTACAGTTTATCGTAATACAAAGAAAGAACGTAAACACGATGTATATTGAAACTTAAATCATTACTCATCGTCAATGACTGATAATTCTACCACTTTGTGTGTGTGTGTGTAGAAGATGTTTTCCACTCTGAAGCTGCTGGGCGTGTCCGAAATGAACCTGTCAGCCAATCAGTGGAAAGACGAGATGAAGCGCTTTGATTGGACGCCACAGACAGGTACAGGTCACCATCACTGTGGGGTTCTGTGTAGGAATGTTCCAGACTCATGTGATCCAAGCATTGGTTGTCAAAGAACCTGAACATCAGCAAGGGAGGACTCTTTAAAGTAGAGACACTACATACTGATATACACCTGAACATCAGCAGGAGAGGACTCTTTAAAGTAGAGACACTACATACTGATATACACCTGAACATCAGCAGGAGAGGACTCTTTAAAGTAGAGACACTACATACTGATATACACCTGAACATCAGCAGGAGAGGACTCTTTAAAGTAGAGACACTACATACTGATATACACCTGAACATCAGCAGGAGAGGACTCTTTAAAGTAGAGACACTACATACTGATATACACCTGGACATCAGCAGGAGAGGACTCTTTAAAGTAGAGACACTACATACTGATATACACCTGAACATCAGCAGGAGAGGACTCTTTAAAGTAGAGACACTACATACTGATATACACCTGGACATCAGCAGGAGAGGACTCTTTAAAGTAGAGACACTACATACTGATATACACCTGAACATCAGCAGGAGAGGACTCTTTAAAGTAGAGACACTACATACTGACATACACCTGGACATCAGCAGGAGAGAACTCTTTAAAGTAGAGACACTACATACTGATATACACCTGAACATCAGCAAGAGAGAACTCTTTAAAGTAGAGACACTACATACTGATATACACCTGAACATCAGCAGGAGAGGACTCTTTAAAGTAGAGACACTACATACTGATATACACCTGAACATCAGCAGGAGAGGACTCTTTAAAGTAGAGACACTACACACTGATATACACCTGGACATCAGCAGGAGAGGACTCTTTAAAGTAGGGACACTACATACTGATACACACCTGAACATCAGCAGGAGAGGACTCTTTAAAGTAGAGACACTACATACTGATATACACCTGAACATCAGCAGGAGAGGACTCTTTAAAGTAGAGACACTACATACTGATATACACCTGAACATCAGCAGGAGAGGACTCTTTAAAGTAGAGACACACCACCTGTATCTTGTTCTCCAGGTGAGAAGCCGCTGCTGAAGGAGTTCCAGGAGCGCTCCGTATGGGAGGTGACTCTGAGGCCGATGGAGATCCGGACCTTCCTGCTCCGGGTCAGATAGACTTTAAGGAGTGATTCACTTTCAATCAATATGAGATTCCCGTGGCCTCTCGCTTGTGTTTGAATCAAGCGAGCAAAGACTTTTTACACCAGTCAGAAATATATGGAAATGGAAATGTACAAAGAATTGCCGATTTTAAACTGGAAAACAGTGAAAAGATTTGTGTCAAACCCGACCTGGGATGGGCTCCAGGAACAGGTGAAGATTAGGGGTCTTTCTCGACTTTTACAAAGATATAAAGCAGATTTTGAAGAGATTGATATCCAGCTGGGATTTTGACCTCAAAAAGCCCCTTCCCCACTGAATGAACGAACACGTGACTCCTTTCAGAGACTCAGTATATGCTCAGAATTGACTGAAGCTGCCTTTCGTACTGCACAAATGGACATCACTAAATCCATCGGGAAAATGCATTTTTTGTAGATTCTTTTAAGCACACACTCTACCAATCACTCAGATCCTTAAAGACATGTTCAGTGGTGCCTACATTCTGCCTCACGAGTGCCAATCATTGTAAATAATTTGAACATGATTTTGTACTGATCCTAAAGCAGCTGATAATAAAATGTGTTAATCTTACTTTGTGTGAAACTGTACGTTGTTGTTACAGCTAAACATCCACCGACACACTTACCTCCATGGGCGCTGGAAGGGGGGTGCTCAGAGAGAGAGAGAGAGAGAGAGAGAGAGACTGTGTTGTTAGCATCTGGTTAGCTAGCTGCACTAACGGACACAAGGAGCTAAAGGACTGAGTGTTTAGATAGTTCACTTTAGTCTAAGTTATCTCAGTGGGTCTCAAACGGTTTGCTCACAAATTATTCAAAAGATTATTTCCGCGGCACACCTTCATATGATCATTATCGTTATAAAACAAATAAGAGAATAAAGGAAAAACAGTTATGAAATACTATATGGCAGTAAAACAAGAATACAGTTTGAAAGGGGAGTGATTTGTAAAATATCCATAAAGAAAAAGAACATCTGCTTCCAGTTGTGTTTCATCTGGGTGTTGAGAGATGTATCCATAGATCTCCTCATGTTGCTCTCAAAGTGCACCAGATTGATGCTTTCAACTTCAATATTTAACAAAAATCTGCATATATGCCGTGAGCTGATTATCGAGCCTTCATTGTAACAGTCGCGGGTGTACTGTGTGTTTGCGTGTGGGGAGTGCTTTTGTGCGTGCTCTATAGTGCCCGTAATAGTGTTCACTGGAGTCCAGCACCCCCACTCAAAATACCTTCCCGCGCCTCTGCTTACCTCTATATATGCATGCTGAATAGTTTAAAGGTCGATTGAGTCACATACTCTTAATTATTTAACTGAAGCAAGATACTTTGTATTTCTCTGCATAATGAATGGAGACACGAATGAGGGCTTTGTCGAATTTGGACACGTTCAAATTAACTATGAATAAGCCGGTTAAATCCACCGTGCTGCAGCGAGGGAACACTCCCACAATGCACCTGTGGAAACTACCAAAAACAACAACAAAAGCAGATTTAAAGTCAGCATGAGGACTTTATTGGACTGTCAAATAACCGAAAGAGAATAAAAAGCTCTGCTGTCAGACTGAACAACTCGTGTTCTGCGTGTTAACAGTTTTATGGTTGTTGTGGATATCCAAACACACTCTGATTGCATGTCGTCATCCAGCTGCTCGGGGACTTTCCAGAAATAAAATAACTTTAAAAAAAATAAAATGTAGATAAGAGTTATTCCACTTTGTCTTCTTTCGTCGGCTCCAGGTTGTGAGAGTAGCAGCATTTCTCTCCGTTTGTGCACTTTCCCTGAAAACAGATCGTAACAATCATTAGAAAACAGAGAAATGCTGAAAGGTAGGTTTTGGCTGCTGGAAATCTACAGCGAGCGGCGACGGGACAAACTGACTTTACAATTATCACTTAAAGGTCTCCTATTATACTGTTGTTCATCAATATATCACAGGTCTCACATACATCCAGAGCCTGTCTCTGATTGGCTGGAACACCAAACAGATCATTGCAGCATTAAGGGGTGCAACAACTAATCGACTTAATCGTTTAAAATCGACCACCAAATTAGTTGCTAACTAATTCAGTCATCGATTCGTTGGTGACGTCATCACGTGTGTTTTACGCGCCGTTAAGCTCCAACGTTATTGGTCTTTTTATCGGTACTGGAGACATTTAAAAAATACGTCATGTATTATTGCTACAAAAACATTATATCGCAGTCTTAGTGTCGCCAACTCGTTTCTAACATGCAAAAAGACAAATATATATGCGTCTATGGTGTATTTTCGATCTTTCCAATCGAGACGAGATCTCTCTCCCCCGTCTGTTACCTCATTCCAGAGATGGAGTACTCGAGTCGGACTCGAGTGCCGATTTTCGGGACTCGTGACTTGACTCAGACTCGCGCACTGATTGACGCGACTCGGACTCGTGAATTCTCACGCACGATGACTTGGACTCGGACTCGAACACAGGTAATGATGACTCGTACTCGGACACTCCTTGGATGACTCGGACTTGAGCAAGTTTTCTCTGGAGTCTGATGTCCTCTGTGTCCTGGCGTGTGCACCTGCGAGGCGAGTTCACGTACTGGGCGCGCCCCCGCTGCTATACCAGTCTAAAGATGTCCAGAGACACACCCCGCATCGTGCTGTATGCTTTTAAAGATTTAGTTTCCATATTGGGAAAGAGCAGCGCAAAATGCACATTATGTGGACAGAAGATAGAAGAGAAGACGTCGAATTTCAATCGACACCTTTCACGCGGCACCCAGAAAAGTAATTAGAAATGCTACTTATGCTACTTAGTGGCTAACGTTAACGTTAGCCACTAAATTGACTCCACAAAGGTTTTAAGATGTCGGGTTAGATGGAGGTAGGGGTTGATATCACATCCTAGGGACCAAGTGCAGTTTTATTGTCTAGATCAGTGGTTCCCAAACGGTGTGCCGCGGCACACTGGTGTGCCGTGAGGCAAGTCCGGGTGTGCCGTGGGATTTTGTGACAACCATACGTTATTATTGCAATATACAACTACACAAAAATAATTATTTTTAAATATACTACATCAGTACTTTGTAGCTTTATATGTACGTAATCTGCGCGATTTGCGCGTCCACATCTCCACGTGCAGTGCTGCATAAACATGGCTGAGTCAGAGATAACTTTCGAGGGGTGGAGGTATGCCCATTACTTTGAGTTCGTCCGAAGAATAGACAGGAATGTGACGGTGAGGTGCAAACTGTGTCCAGGCCAGAAGCTGTTATCCACTGCTGGAAACACCACGTGGTCAAACCTCAACACACACCTGCAAAGAACACATGCTAAGGTGAAGCTACTGCACACGCTATTTGTTGTTTGTTTATAACACGTAGTCTGTTCTTCTTCTCTGTCTTCCGGTTTTTGCCTGTTTTGAATGACAAATACACACTACCGCCGCCTGCTGGTAAGGAAAGTTATTGCCACTCAGGCATGCGCAGTTCGTACGTGCTCGGCGAGTAAAGTAACGAGTTACTTTATGTAGATAGTAACGAAGTAGTGTAATATATTACTTTTTTTTAAAAAGTAATATTACATTTTTTTAGTAACGACCCCATCTCTGGAGTTGGCGTTCTCTACTCTGGTTTACATGAAGAACAACAGGAGGTCACGGCTCTCTGTTGAACAGGACTTGCGAGCGGCCCTCTCCTCAGTGCCACCAAGGATTACAAAATTCTGCGCGCCCCGACAGGCACATATATCTCACTAATTTGTAAGTCGGCAAAAATATTTACAATAGCACATGTTTCAATGCTGATTAATGAAATGTTACATTTATAATTTGTAGTTCAGGACCATGGACGATGCAGCTTCCTTGCATTGACAGTTCTCTGTGCTGAATTTCTGCTGTTTCCTTTGCCTCATTTCTAATGTTGTGACCTGTCTGGTTTAAAGGAGTGTGTTGCTGCTTTGATGAAGCCTAATTTGGTAAAGTTTCAAATTAATTTCTGAAATATTTCGTTAATAAATATTTCATGAGTAATATAGTTGTCTTTGTCACATTTTATTTGGCATTAGTAAATAATTATGCACATTTACAGATATTTTACATGATATGAGTGATAACACGTGTTATAAGGGCTATTTTGCACAATAGGTGTGCCTTGAGATCTTGGGCACAAAAAGTTTGGGAACCACTGGTCTAGATAGATACTGTTAAAAAGCTATACATGCCCTTGGTGATACTGCAGATGATGAGTAGCCTAGCCCTAGCCTACAATGAACGTGAAAATTAAAGACTGAAAATGATCTCCGTCACGGAGGCTCCATAACACATTACTCTAACGGAGCCTACACACGGCGGCGTGCGTTGCCGCTTCAACGCTTCTGCCCATTCACTTTGAATGGGGTGACGTCACGATTCGCCGAACTGCATTGTGGGAGCAAAGCGTAGCTTCTCTCGCGATGCTCGCTGCAAAAGTAGAGCAATGTTCTACTTTTGCCGCCTCGACGGAGGCGTCAGCCAATCAAATCCCGCGTATGCAAATCTGACAGCACAAGCGCTAGCCAATCAAACCGCGTGTATGTTGGGAGAGCCAGACCGCAGTTATTTCCCATATGTCAAAAAATGGAGGAGAAAATGATCGTGGCGGTACTATATGACCAGTCCCTCTTTACATACAGGGATACAAACCGGAGGAGCCAGGCATGGGGGGAGGTGGCAGAGACAGTGGGTGAAACTGGTAGGTTTTCGCCTGTTTGGGGAGTTTATATCCAGTGTACTTCGTTTGAATGGACAGCTAGCAAGCATAGACAGTATATTTAGCCAGCATGGATGTAGCATGAATGCTTTGCTTTGTATGTCCGGGGCGGGACATTCATGTGATTGGTTGTTGGTCACGTTGTTTGTAAAAAATCCCCATGGATATGTATATATATATATATATATATATATATGTGTAGGGGCCGTAAGGATGGAGTTCATATATATATATATTTACGGCCCCTACACACGGCGGCGTGCGTTACCGCTTGGCGGTGGGCGTGTCTGAAGCTTGGGGATATATATATATATATATATATAGGCTGTATTGAACACTATCATCAGAGTAATGTGATCAAATCAATAAGTAAAGATTCAGCCGATAACATGAACGCACATTGCTACTTAACATGCAGAATGTCGTCATTGTGCATGCTAAGTAGCAATGTGCTTTCTGGGGCTTAATCTTTATTGATATCATTTAAACGTTCACTTATTGGTTGTTGGACATTGTGATATTATTAAAAGCAATGTAGAGGAGCTACAGCTACATTTCAACACATATATCCACTAAGATTAATACATGAAGACTTGTGACTCGGACTTGACTTGGACTCTTCTTGGGTGACTTGGACTCGGACTCGAACACAGGTAATGGTGACTCGGACTCGACTCGGACACTCCTTGGGTGACTCGGACTTGGACTCGGACTCAACTACGACTCTCCCTAGGTGACTCGGACTCGAAGAGTGGGGACTCGAGAGTGACTTGGACTCGTGAATTGGTGACTTGACTACAACAGTGCCTCATTCACACCAACGCAACTCCGGTTCAAGCTCCGTGCTAGAGCTTTTCAGGTTCAGAACCGGTTCTTCGGTTTAGCTCTGGCTCTTTTCACACCGCCCAGAGTCCGACTGGTGCTGCGTCATTGCGTCATCGTTTGCGTCATGACGTAACCGTTTGCGTGCCTGCTTCATAAAGCCAAACCGCGCGGAAACCCCTCACAGCTGACACCGACAACAACAACAATGGCCGATTGTGCTCCAGCTTCCTCTGTACCTCTTCGGAAGACCAGATTCCCAGTAGGTAGCTGGTCTCTTCAGTGGACCACTGCTGCTGGTTAAGTTTCTCCATCGTTGTGTACAAGCTGGATAAAACGCGGGCTTCTTGTTGTTGTTCAGGAGTTGATCTGCCCCTGCCCCCGCCTCGATGTAAGCGTGATGTATGCGGTGCTTTTGCTCTGGCCGGACAATTTTTTGGTGCTTGAAACGAACCGGATTCCGGAGCTAAGAGGCTGCTCCGCTGCGGTGTGAACAGGAAAACCCGGTGCTTTTCAAGCTCCAGCTCCAAACCGGCCCCGAAACACCGTTGGTGTGATTGAGGTCTGTGTGCGAGGGGGCGGGGCAGTTTACACACACGCAGCTGCTACATGCAGCAACACACTGCGGAGATGGCGGAGAGAACGCGCTCCAAGGTGGTTAAACTTTACCCGTCTCGATGCTCGTTGCCTAAAGTGCAATAAGAGTTCAGCACGTAAGGGCGGTAACACGAGCAATTTGTCGAAACATTTATCAAAAGTGCTCCACATCCAGACGGAGGAATGCACCGGGTTCGACTGTCTTTCTCGCAGCTCTGTAGCTCCATCCACGAGTAACGTTTCCACGTCAGCAACAAACGGAGTTAACTCATTATACAAACGTGGGTTAATGATTAACCGAGTTATTTATTTTGTTAAAGTTTCAGCCATTCTGTTTACAGTTCTGTCATCACATTATTTAATACGATTTGTTAAAACATTGTTGTTTCTTTTGATGTGAAATATTATTTATTTTATTTAAATAAAAAGCAATGTTAGTTTTGTTCACAATTTGTTTAGTTAATTTAATAATATATGTATTTTTGAATCAAGTATTCATCTTTATTGTCTTCATAGTTTCCACATGCCTAAAACAACCTCAAGCTCAATCTAAAAGTTGATGGCTAAATAAGAGCGTTAGAGAAATTGTGCAAGGCATAATAGTCCCAATAGTCGATTAGTCGTTTCATTAATCGATTATCAAATGAGTCGTTTGTTTCAGCCCTGTTACCCATAATCCCCTCTGTTTCCAAAGTGCTGATTCTCTGTCTGTTACTTTAGATGGAAATAAGGAGCCCCTCCCCACGCATGTATGATTTCAGTATTTTTTTTAAAATACATAAAGGAAAATGGAAGTTAATGCAACTTCTAACAAAGCTTTCTCTGATAGCTCAAACATGGAACAGCTTGTGAGTGGATTCAACCCAAAGATAGATCCTAAAAGGGTAGACCAGGTAGCTTCGGTTCTCTCTCTTCCTCGAATCAGCGAGGACTTGTGAATAACTCATTAACGCATGATGGTGTTTGTGTGCTTCCCTCCTCTGCTCTAGGAAAAGAGTCAGGCGGCACTTTTCTAGGAAGAATAATAAACAAATAACCAGGAGGGTCCTAACGTTCAGCAGGAGTTAGAGAAGAGACCCTCCTACAGAGAAGAGAAGAGACCCTCCTACAGAGAAGAGAAGAGACCCTCCTACAGAGAAGAGAAGAGACCCTCCTACAGAGAAGAGAACCTCCTACAGAGAAGAGAAGAGACCCTCCTACAGAGAAGAGAAGAGACCCTCCTACAGAGAAGAGAAGAGACCCTCCTACAGAGAAGAGACCCTCCTACAGAGAAGAGAAGAGACCCTCCTACAGAGAAGAGAAGAGACCCTCCTACAGAGAAGAGACCTTCCTACAGAGAAGAGATCCTCCTACAGAGAAGAGACCCTCTTACAGAGAAGAGAAGAGACCCTCCTACAGAGAAGAGACCCTCCTACAGAGAAGAGACCCTCCTACAGAGAAGAGATCCTCCTACAGAGAAGAGACCCTCTTACAGAGAAGAGAAGAGACCCTCCTACAGAGAAGAGACCCTCCTACAGAGAAGAGACCCTCCTACAGAGAAGAGATCCTCCTACAGAGAAGAGACCCTCTTACAGAGAAGAGAAGAGACCCTCCTACAGAGAAGAGACCCTCCTACAGAGAAGAGACCCTCCTACAGAGAGGAGACCCTCCTACAGAGAAGAGACCCTCCTACAGAGAAGAGATCCTCCTACAGAGAGGAGACCCTCCTACAGAGAAGAGACCCTCCTACAGAGAAGAGACCCTCCTACAGAGAAGAGATCCTCCTACAGAGAGGAGACCCTCCTACAGAGAGGAGACCCTCCTACAGAGAGCGCACATGCTTTGAGGACATGGAGATGAAAGGTGAACCGACCACTTTGAACTTCTTGCAGTGGAAGTTTTTGAAGTCTCCAACATCTGTGATCTGGTTCTTCCTCTTGTTCTGGCACCTCTTCCTCTTGTCATTCAGACTGGTGGCTAAACCACCGCTGGGGGAGAGAGGAGGAGAGGTTAGAGAGGGAGGGAAGGGAACAAGGTAAGAAGGAGATAAAACAAGAGGAACAAAGGAGATGTAGAAGCGAACTTTGAAAAATGAAAAACAATGTTTTTAATAGTTTTATTCACCGAGATAACGATTGGCATCAGTTAAAGGGTCTAATAAAGGGTGTTAACAAGTATTTAAAAAGCCATAAATACACATTAACATTTGATTTGATCTGAATTAAGCTTGTGATTGATCAACTATCAAAATATTGGGGCATTCTTTTCTGTCAATCTATTAGTTAGCTATACTGTACAGATCTATTTGGACCATCCTCAAACCTGTGTGTGTGTGTATGTGTGTGTGTGGTCTAGCATTACTATACTTGTGGGGACCTAAATCTGTTTACACAGTCACGTGTGGGGACTGGCTTTCCTTATGGGGACAAAATGGAGGTCCCCATAAGGGGAATCATTCATTTTAGGGTGAAGACTTGGTTAGGTTAGGGTTAGTTATGTGTTGGTTATGGTTAAGGTTAGGATAAGTCTCCAGGAAATGCATGTAAGTGTGTGTGTGTAAGTGTGTGCGTGTGTGTGTGCGTATATATCTTGTGTTACCCAGATTTGGCTCTTGCTTTGGGCCCCCAGAAGGCCTGCGGGTTCTCCTGGAAGCGGGTCAGGTGGCGTTTACGGGACTGAGGGTTGGCGTCCTCCCTCACCGTGAAGCAGGCCTCTGAGCTGCACACACACACACACACACACACACACACACACACACACACACACACACACACACACACACACACACACACACACACACACACACACACACACACACACACACACACACACACACACACACACACACACACACACACACACACACACACACACACACACACACACACACACCACACACACACACACCACACACACACACACACACACACACACACACACACACACACACACACACACACACACACACACACACACACACACACACACACACACACACACACACACACACACACAAACAAATCAGAACTTCGTGTAAAGACAAGATATTTTCAGACTTTTAAAATGCCCTTATTGTAAAAGCAAACTCAAGTTAGACTCAAAAGAAACTGCTTACGAGTCTTTCCTGTCATGTATGTTTATGTCTGCACCTCAAACGACACGTCAAGAAAGTGATCCAAGCTAACTCTCGTTTGTGATTTGATAATGTTTAAATAATACGAAGTAACTTCTGGAAAAGGCAAAAGCTAGTCAGAATATATTCTAGTGAATCTAAACATGTTCACAGTATCAGGAATGCAACACGTGAAGGTAACAGTCAACATGTCAAGAGAAGGAGTCCAGGTGAGTCTCTGCGCTTCCTTCTTATTAAACTCCTGATAACTGTGTGTCTCTCAGGTGTGTGTCTCTCAGGTGTGTGTCTCTCAGGTGTGTGTCTCAGGTGTGTGTGTCTCTCAGGTGTGTGTCTCTCAGGTGTGTGTGTCTCTCAGGTGTGTGTGTCTCTCAGGTGTGTGTGTCTCTCAGGTGTGCATGTCTCCTCTCAGGTGCGTGTGTCTCTCAGGTGCGTGTGTCTCTCAGGTGCGTGTGTCTCTCAGGTGTGTGTGTGTCTCTCAGGTGTGTGTGTGTCTCTCAGGTGTGTGTGTGTCTCTCGTGTGTGTGTCTCTCGTGTGTGTGTCTTGTGTGTGTCTCTCAGGTGTGTGTGTCTCTCAGGTGTGTGTGTCTCTCAGGTGTGTGTGTGTCTCTCAGGTGTGTGTGTGTCTCTCAGGTGTGTGTGTCTCTCAGGTGTGTGTGTCTCTCAGGTGTGTGTGTCTCTCAGGTGCGTGTGTCTCAGGTGCGTGTGTCTCTCAGGTGTGTGTGTCTCTCAGGTGTGTGTGTCTCTCAGGTGTGTGTGTCTCTCAGGTGTGTGTGTCTCTCAGGTGTGTGTGTGTGTCTCTCAGGTGTGTGTGTGTGTCTCTCAGGTGCGTGTGTCTCTCAGGTGCGTGTGTCTCTCAGGTGCGTGTCTCTCAGGTGCGTGTGTCTCTCAGGTCTCTCAGGTGCGTGTGTCTCTCAGGTGCGTGTGTCTCTCAGGTCTCTCAGGTGCGTGTGTCTCTCAGGTGCGTGTGTCTCTCAGGTGTGTGTGTTTCTCTCTCTCAGGTGTGTGTGTGTCTCTCGTGTGTGTGTCTCTCGTGTGCGTGTGTCTCTCAGGTGCGTGTGTCTCTCAGGTGCGTGTGTCTCTCAGGTGTGTGTCTCTCAGGTGTGTGTGTCTCAGGTGTGTCTCCTCTCAGGTGTGTGTCTCTCAGGTGTGTGTCTCTCAGGTGTGTGTCTCTCAGGTGTGTGTCTCTCAGGTGTGTGTCTCTCAGGTGTGTGTCTCTCAGCTGTGTGTCTCTCAGGTGTGTGTCTCTCAGGTGTGTGTCTCTCAGGTGTGTCTCCTCTCAGGTGTGTCTCTCAGGTGTGTGTCTCTCAGGTGTGTGTCTCTCAGGTGTGTCTCCTCTCAGGTGTATGTCTCTCAGGTGTGTGTCTCAGGTGCGTGTCTCTCAGGCGTGTGTCTCTCAGGCGTGTGTCTCTCACCTGGGCTCCGTGGAGAGGATCTTGAAGGCGGGGCTTGTCTCTGACAGCTTCTCTCTCTTCACTGGATTGGACTTCTCCTGTGGCAACAACCAATCAGACAAGAGTTAGTCTAAATGATGCATTCAATGGATCCCCAGTCACGCAGCCTGAGGTCCAGCACCACCAGGAGGCTGAACTCTCTCCCCTCCCTATAAAGTTGACTTTGATAGTTATATTAGTTCATGTTACCCAGCAGCGCATGATGTCCCAGATGTCCGCAGGAGGCGCTGACGTCTTGATGCCGTTCTTACAGGCGTGAGAGAGAGAAACTCTGTGACCGGCGTGAAGGAGAGCCGACCTGCAGAGAGAGAGAGACAGGATTCAGAGCGGGAACGTTTGAAATATTCCAAAACTGACAAATCCCATTGCTGCTCAGGTGTGTGTTTCTACCTGAACTGCAGCAGGGGGGGGGTGGTGCAGTGTATCGTGCTGCTCAGACTGTCCACAGTGTAATACAGAGGAACATCTTCCAGCTCCTGAAACACAGGAACCACCTTCACATCATGTCTGCAGAACATACAATGTAGGGCTGCTCGATTATGGCAAAAATCATAATCTCGATTATTTGGGTCAATAATTGTAATTGCGATTATTCATTGACTTTGAAAACATCCATTTATTGTACTTTAAAGGAGAGGTGTCATGGCCATTTCCACTGATCATAATTCCATTGTTGAGGTCTACTAGAATAGATTTATACTGTGCAATTTTCCAAACTCACATTGTTTCGCTTACAGCATCTCTGTAAAGTATGTGTATTCACTCTCTCCACTAAACGGCTCGTTGCAGCTCTTGCCCCTCCCCCCCCCTCCCTGTGAGCCCAGTGTGCTCCGATTGGTCGGGACCAGTCGGGACGTTGTAAATCGCACTGAGCTCCGTGAAGGTGTGATTTCCTTGTTTAGCGAAACACAGCCAAACTCACCCTGAGCACACACAAAGTCACAGCCGAAGTAAAAACAATAAGTGTGGCTTGATATTGAGAAAGAAAAGGGTTGATAAACGCTGTGAGAATGGGTCTGCAGAGAGAATGGGTCTGCAGAGAGAATTTCGCCGCGATCCCAACTGTCTGTTATCAGCACGGATTGGTCCATTTCGTTCCGGGTACGACATGACATCATGATGTACCCCGAAGAATCAAATGGATGATGACGTTTCACCAACGAGGCGTTTTGGGGAGGTCTTTTCTGTATTAGAGTTTACTCGCTACAGGGTGTACTTTGAGGGTTTTGACTCTGCACACCGTTTACATACATAAAAACCTTCATAACACAAGGGGACGGGTACTAACCGGAAAAGCATGACATGTGACCTTTAAAACAAATAATTTGAACTTTTTAACTGTTGAATTATACGTTCAGGGTCATCAACTGAAAAACCAATACAAACTAAAATAAATTATACATTCATGTCTACATTTAAATAAATAATATCAAAATATTAAATACCAATCAACCTGAAAACTCCTCAACATATAGCCACCGTTTTGGTAAAACATATTCAACACATTCCACTCCGTTAAACATTAAAGGCTGGCCCACCGTCATGGTCCAGAAGTAACAGGAAATAAATGTTGAACTATTTAAGACCAAATAAAAATGTTTTGGTCACCATGGCAAATGCTGGTAGGGCTGCTCGCGTAATCTCTTAAAGATTGTTTGCTAGACACACCAGCCTGTTTACATGGTCTGGTTTCAGAGATGAGCGCAGGCAGGTGACGATATTGCCAATCTCGATTATGTGGGTCAATAATTGATATCCATCCATCCATCCATCTTCTCCCGCTTATCCGTGGTCGGGTCGCGGGGGTAGCAGTTCCAGCAGAGAGCCCCAAACTTTCTTTTCCCTGGCGACATCAACCAGCTCTGACTGGGGGATCCCAAGGCGCTCCCAGGCCAGCGAAGAGATATAATCCCTCCACCTGGTCCTAGGTCTACCCCTTGGTCTCTTCCCAGCTGGACGTGCCTGGAACACCTCCCTAGGGAGGCGCCCAGGTGGCATCCTAACTAGGTGCCCGAACCACCTCAACTGGCTCCTTTCGACGCGAAGGAGGAGATATAATAATTGATATCACGATTATTAAAAACATCAATTTATTGGAGAAAAAAATTTTTTAACAGTTTATTTGCAACACTTGATTACCCTGAACTTTAAGTATAATTCAACTGAAAAACCAAAACAATTTTTTTTAAGAAAAGTAATAATAAGAAAATGATCGTTTTATTTCGATTACATTGTTTTCGTAATCGTTGCAAGCCATAATCGTAATCGCGATTAAAATACGATTAATTGAGCAGCCCTAGTACAATGTGCATTTCACACACCTGACAATAACACAGAGAGAGAGTGGATAAAAAGGGGAATGAATACCGTTAGAAAAAAATCCCTCGTCCCCGGCTTGAACCTCAATCTCAGGATCCATGTATTTATGCTCCTCTCAAGAATGGAAGTAGTCAAAACAAAAAGAGAGAATTTGTTGTTTTTTTCTTAATCTCAAAATTCTGACTTTTTCTCAAAATCTCAAATTCTGTGTGTTTCTAAAGATTCTGACTTTTCCAATTTCTTTTTATTACTTTCTCAAAAATCCCAAAAATCTGAGTTTTTCTCAAAATCTAAAAATGCTGTCTTTCCCCCTAAATTCAGACTCTCTCTCAAAATGATATCTTTTAAAAAAAAATGAACATAATTCTGACTTTTTTCTCAAAATCCTGACTTTTTTTTAAAAATTCGGACTTTTTCTGAATACTTGAATCACTCGTCCCCGGCTTGAGCTTCAATCTCAGGATCGATGTATCTGTGATCCTCTCCAGAATGGAAGTAGTCATCGCATACAGACAGAGTTGGGTGTAACGCGTTACTGTAATAATATTACTTTTGTCGGTAACGGAGTAGTGTAACGCGCTACTTTTATAATTCAGTAATCACACTAGTTACTAACATTGCCCCGACACGCGTTACTTCGTTACTTACTAAAATCAGTCATAATCACACTGACAGACAAGAGGGCTTTCCGCCGCAGGTTTATATGTACGTAATCTGCGCGTCCACATCTCCACGTGCAGTGCTGCATAAACATGGCTGAGTCAGTGATAACTCTCGAGGGGTGGAGGTCTGCCCATTATTTTGAGTTCGTCCGAAGAATAGACGGGAATGTGACGGTGAGGTGCAAACTGTGTCCAGGCCAGAAGCTGTTATCCACTGCTGGAAACACCACGTGGTCAAACCTCAACACACACCTGCAAAGAACACATGCTAAGGTGAAGCTACCGCACAGCTATTTGTTGTTTGTTTATATCACGCAGTCTGTTCTTCTTCTCTGTCTTCCGGTTGTTGCCTGTTTTGAATGACGAATACACACTACCGCCGCCTGCTGGTAAGGAACGTTATTGCCACTCACGCGTGCTCGGCGAGTAAAGTAACGAGTAAAGTAACGAGTAAAGTAACGAGTAAAGTAACGAGTAAAGTAACGAGTTACTTTATGTAGATAGTAACGAAGTAGTGTAATATATTGCTTATTTTAAAGTAAAATGTAATATATTAAAAAAATTTAGTAACGACCCCATCTCTGCATACAGAGCATCAACTAGTTCCTGAACAGTGTCCTTCACATGCTGATATCCAAGAGAGGGAGTTACACAGTCACAAGATGGAGGAATACTAGTAGTTTTTTCTGAAAATGTCAAAATTCTGACTTTTTCTCAAAATTCTGACTTTTTCCCAAAATCTCAAAATCTGGACTTTTTCTCAAAATTCTGACTTTCTCTCAAAATCCTCACACGGTCACAAGATGGAGGAATACTGGTTCAAAGCAGTATTCAATGTTTAGCTTAGATTAGCTCCACGTCAGAAATGAGCATGCTTGATGTCTCTCTCCATAGAGGCTGAATCATCATGTTAATCACAGAGCTATCATATGCCTCAAACAGTCCTGATGCTCTTCTAGGTAATCACACATCCTGTCATGTTCACAGCTACAGTTGGGATACCTTTGTTATCATGTGACTCTCACATTGGAAGAGGACATTCAGTATTTTCCCAACATACCTCGGTCACCATGCTGAGCATCCCCTCGATCCGTTTGGCCGTCCCAAATCTGGACGGGTTTGTCGATACAGCGGACAGAACCTTCTGGACGAACTCCAGGTCGTGGATTGGCTCGGCCCAGATGGGACCCCCGAGCTGCAGGAGGACACACACAGGGGTGAGAGGGTCAGTTTTTGTGTTTTATAGTGGGGTCAACTCTGGGAATATAGTGGTGCAGGAATGAGTCCTAAAACCAAGAAATGACTGTTTTAGCACTTCCTGTTCCCTGGTGTCTGTCTGTCTCTCTGTCCGTCTCTCTGTCTGTCCGTCTCTCTGTCCGTCCGTCTCTCTGTCTGTCCGTCTGTCTGTCTCTCTGTCTGTCCGTCTGTCTCTCTGTCTGTCTGTCTCTCTGTCTGTCTGTCTCTCAGTCAGTCTGTCTCACTGTCTGTCTGTCCGTCCGTCTCTCTGTCTGTCCGTCTGTCTCTCTGTCCGTCTCTCTGTCCGTCTCTCTGTCCGTCTCTCTGTCCGTCTCTCTGTCTGTCCGTCTCTCTGTCTGTCCGTCTCTCTGTCTGTCCGTCTGTCTGTCTCTCTGTCCGTCTGTCTGTCCGTCTGTCTGTCTCTCTGTCCGTCTGTCTGTCCGTCTGTCCGTCTCTCTGTCCGTCCGTCTGTCTCTCTGTCCGTCTGTCTGTCCGTCTGTCCGTCTCTCTGTCCGTCCGTCTGTCTCTCTGTCCGTCCGTCTGTCTCTCTGTCCGTCTGTCTGTTCGTCTGTCTCTCTGTCCGTCTGTCTGTCTCTCCGTCCGTCTGTCTGTCTCTCTGTCCGTCCGTCCGTCCGTCTGTCTGTCTGTCTCTCCGTCCGTCTGTCTGTCCGTCTCTCTGTCCGTCTGTCTCTCTGTCCGTCTGTCCGTCTGTCTGTCTCTCTGTCCGTCTGTCTCTCTGTCCGTCTGTCTCTCTGTCCGTCCGTCTCTCTGTCTGTCCGTCTGTCTCTCTGTCCGTCTGTCTCTCTGTCCGTCTGTCTCTCTGTCCGTCTGTCTGTCCGTCTGTCTCTCTGTCCGTCTCTCTGTCTGTCTCTCTGTCCGTCTGTCTGTCACCTGATGTCTCTGCCCACAGATGTCACAGTGTGGTCCGACGGGCGGTCCGGTGGCTGGAGAATACTTCATACTGAAATTAGAGCAGAGTCGTATTAACTACACAGGAACAACTAACAGACGTCACTCCACAGCATGACTATAACTCATGGGAAACATCAGAGAGTGTCGTTGGTACAGTGTGAGGTGTCTTCTTACTGTTTCCCGTTGGTGGTCCTCCGGCCCATCCGCTGCAGGTGGAAGGAGCCGCAGCCCACACAGTTATACACCAGAGCCTGTTTACTGAGAAGAAGACGAGTGTTAGACTGTGTGCTTAACTGCTGACTACAACTAATCATTTCAATGTGAGCATGTATGCTAGTAAATGTACACATACGTTTGAATAGGGTACAGGTATGCCAGAGAGACTGTTTTTTTGTTTAAGGTTGAACAATATTGCTATATAGTGGCGACATCTGTGGTCCATGGATTGTAAAAGACTACAATTCCCAGGGTGCCAGCCAATGAAGAGACACAGGTTTACACAGTGCTTAACCCTTTACTTTTGACTGTCCAACAGAAATGAGGTCAATCTGCTAGAGTTATGCCTCCTTTGTTTTGACACTGATCTCTGTTGTTCACCGTGTGTGGAGACTGTTCTATTCGATTTAGTTTAACTACGCAGGCCGCATAAAATGAAGGCAAGTCATTGAAACCTTGAGCAAAAGAAAGTCATGTGTGTGAGACACGGAACATGTACGTTTTAAGTGGCGGCAACAACAGAAACTCAGGAATGTGGCCGCAGCAAGCACATCCCGTTTGTAACATGTATTCATTTGGCTTTCTAACTCTCCTCACAAGTCACATAAGTATTCAACATTATATTCGTATACCTTCCCATATTTCTATTTCTTCTGCTGCTGCCATTATTATTGTTGCATTGGTCCGGTTTCAGGGTCATTCATTATATTTTCAATGTTAGGAGAGACAGTACAGTGTGTGTGTGTGTGTGTGTGTGTGTGTGTGCGTGTGTATGTGCGTACCTGACAGAGTTCTTCACCGTGACCTGTCCTGTGAACACTCGTAGGAACACCCTAATGTAGAAGTCCACGCTGACGCAGAGCAGAGGTTGGATGTATCTCTGGTAAACCCCGGCCCTCTGGTCCACACTGTGGAGGAGGATACGCAGCGCCTGAGGGGACAGAGAGACACCTTGAATGCTTCATGATGGGAGGATACGCAGCGCCTGAGGGGACAGAGAGAGACACCTTGAATGCTTCATGATGGGAGGATACGCAGCGCCTGAGGGGACAGAGAGAGACACCTTGAATGATTCATGATGGGAGGATACGCAGCGCCTGAGGGGACAGAGAGACACTTTGAATGCTTTCATGATGGGAGAGGTCTTGCACCACTTACAAATAAAGACTATGAACAGGTCATAAGGCTGGGGGAAGCAGAAGAGACGTGAAGAGGACGCAGAGACGTGAAGAGGACGCAGAGACCTTTAGACAGACGCTGAGGTGGCCTTCTTGTTGTTGGACTGGTTAGTAATATGAACTGCTATCTTTTATGTAATGTTTGGCTCTGTCAGGAAAGTTAACACTAGTTTTTCCATCACAAGTAATCAAAACAAATTATCTTTATGTCATTATTTATGACAATCATTTCCACTTGTTCTGGGCTCGTCCACAAATAATTATTCTATGCCATAAGCAAAACGAATCCCCTTTCAAATGTGACTTTTCAGGCCTGCTACATAAGTCCATGTCTTAAACTTGACATCCCATCAACAGATGACGGGATATGAGACCTGGAATCCTTGTTATGGAAGACTCTTTTTCTCCATGAGGCTTCAGGAGAATACGTTTGAGGAAACTCGGAAAAAGTGGTAGCAATTTATTTCCCAGAGACAGACTCCCTGCTGCGTTTCTCTGTAAACAGAAAACACTCCTTGCTTGTTTGAGCTATGGTTGTGTGGATGACTGTAGAGATTCAAACTGATAGTGATTGTGCAAACTGTAATATAAACACTAGGGATGCCAGCGATTATTCGAATATTCGTTACAGTCTCCATAATCAAAAATAATTTTTAAAATTCGATTTTATTTATATATTTCTTTATTATTATTATTTATGTTTTGTTTTTTTCCTGGCTTAGTTTCAACCAAAATATAGACTAATGCTAATAATAGTAATAGTATTAATAATTGTAAATGGCCATTGGTCACACGACCAGTTTGTTTAACGGCCCGTCCACACTACAGCTTCGACAGCTTCAAAAACGGTTTCCAACGCTTCTGCCCATCCACTTTGAATGGGGTGACGTCACTTTTCGCCGAACTGCATTGTGGGAAGCAGAGCGGAGCTTTCCTGGCGTTTCAGGCTGCAAAAGTTGAGCAATGTTCAACTTTTGAAGCTTCTGAAGCTTTCGGTGGAAGCGTCAGCCAATCAAATCATATGCCAGTACAAGCTCTAGCCAATCAAACCGCTGCTTGTGTGTCAGGGGCGGGAGATTCATGTGATTGGTTGTTGGTCGAGCTTCAGACACGCCCAGCTCCAAGCTTTTTTTTAAGCTGTAGTGTGGACGGGCCGTAAACTTGGAGGAAGCCAGCTGCGCAGCCCTTCGCTGCTACACACCGACCCCGCCCTCCCCCCCCTCCTCTCCGTCACACGTGCGATTGATTTATTGGAGTGAGAATACAACTAAAGATGAACAAAGGAAAGAAGAGTTCCTCGTGGAACTACTTCAAACTGATTAGTGCAAATGAAGTCAAATGCAAGTAGAGTACTTCGTGACCACAGAGTGTGAATGTTGTGATCAGCTGTTTTAGCGCAGCTCTCCAGTGAAGTGGGGGGGGGGGGGGGGGGGGAGGAGTCTCCCTCCGCAGCCGGTTGGCATAGTTTTGGCACAATTCCGTTGTACAGACCGACGTTAACAGCAGGGCGTCGAATAATCGATTATTATTCGCCAGGACTGTCCGATTTTGATCATGGTCAGTTTCTGGCATCCCTAATAAACACCACATAGTTCAGAAAAATAAAACTTCAGTTGCTCTAAATCTAAAGAGTGTTGCATCATTCTGCTCTGCATGTTGCAGAGAGCTGCAGGAGACACACACACACACACACACACCTCAACAAAGGATCATCACATGTTTAAATGCAAATAAGGGGACATGTCTATGCATGAACTGTGTGTGTATGTGTGCGTGTGGTTATTGTTGTACTGTGTGCTTACACGTGTGTGTGTTTTGAGTGTGTGTGTGTGTGTGTGTGTGTGTGTGTGTGCTCACCATCTCATGGCAGTATTTGGCTTTGATGGACACAGAGCCGTATTTGCTGTAGCACGTCTCTGTGTTGTTTCCTGCCATCACCGCCATGTCAGTGCACGTTACACACAGCAGACCTGAGAGAGAGACAGTGAGTCAGCAGAAACACAACTGAGAGGAAGAATACACACTCACTTGAGACTGACTTTAAAGGTCCCCTATTATCCTGTTTTACATCAATATATCACAGGTCTCAGATATATACAAAACCTGTCTCTGATTGGCTGAACCACCAAACAGATCATTGCAGCATTACCCATAATCCCCTCTGTTTCAGCCCTGTTTTCCAAAGTGCTGATTCTCTGTCTGTTACTTTAGATGAAAATAAGGAGCCCCTCCCCACGCCCCTCTGAGAGAGATTTGGTTACAAAGAACTCAATGGTGCTCTAGAGGAGATTCAGGTGATAAGGTGGGGGGGTTACCTTGGTTGCTGATTTTCAGACAGGTTTTTATAGAAATGGATCAAAAAGAGAGAGAATCTTTGTTCCTGAAACTTTCAGAGTCTCTTTCCACAGAGGGGACACATGTTGATGAAGAAGAGACATGAAGAAGAGGGGACACATGTTGATGTAGAAGAGACATGAAGAAGAGGGGACACATGTTGATGTAGAAGAGACATGAAGAAGAGGGGACACATGTTGATGTAGAAGAGACATGAAGAAGAGGGGACACATGTTGATGTAGAAGAGACATGAAGAAGAGGGGACACATGTTGATGTAGAAGAGACATGAAGAAGAGGGGACACATGTTGATGTAGAAGAGACATGAAGAAGAGGGGACACATGTTGATGTAGAAGAGACATGAAGAAGAGGGGACACATGTTGATGTAGGGGACACATGTTGATGTAGAAGAGACATGAAGAAGAGGGACACATGTTGATTTAGAAGAGACATGAAGAAGAGGGGACACATGTTGATGTAGAAGAGACATGAAGAAGAGGGGACACATGTTGATGTAGAAGAGACATGAAGAAGAGGGGATACATGTTGATGTAGAAGAGACATGAAGAAGAGGGGACACATGTTGATGTAGAAGAGACATGAAGAAGAGGGGACACATGTTGATGTAGAAGAGACATGAAGAAGAGGGGACACATGTTGATGTAGAAGAGACATGAAGAAGAGGGGACACATGTTGAGGTAGAAGAGACATGAAGAAGAGGGGACACATGTTGATGTAGAAGAGACATGAAGAAGAGGGGACACATGTTGATGTAGAAGAGACATGAAGAAGAGGGGACACATGTTGATGTAGAAGAGACATGAAGAAGAGGGGACACATGTTGATGTAGAAGAGACATGAAGAAGAGGGGACACATGTTGATGTAGAAGAGACATGAAGAAGAGGATTTTGAGTGACACAGAAACCTATAAAACACTACAGGAAGGGAAACCCCCCAAAAATCTGACGTTTACCATTTACAGTTTAATTGTAGCTTGTTGTTTTGCATTTAATATCAGACAGATGAGAGGCCGTCGTGCTGTTATTTGAAGCAGGAAATGAACCACAGAGGACGTTTTGGACGAGTTACTGACGGACTGTAAACTTACTCTCCAGTCCTAAAGTAAAAAGTCTGTATTCCTCACCTCCTTCACCAACAGACTGCACGGCTGCATCTAAAAAGGCAGAAGGACTCCCATAGGGATCCAGATCGATGACGTCATAACGATCCTTCCTCCCTCGCATCTCGTACATCAGCATACTGCAGAGAAACCAATATGAGACAACATCAATGACCAGTGACGGAAAAGATGCTCAGACAGGAAGTCATAGTAAAGATTGGAAGGCTTTGTTGTCATGTGCACAATAGCTAAAGCATAGGTAAAGCAATCAAACTCATAAGTCAAACATCAGTGAGGCGGATAAGAAACAGAGAGTTTCCCTGAAAGCTCTGAGGTACCTGGCGTCCCTGCAGCTGGCGCTCAGCAGGTGTTCGACCCCGTTATATTCGGCGTTTCTGGCGATCAGCGCGGCCGCCTTGGAGGAGAAGTCGTTGGCCGTGACGCTCTTCAGACCCGGGACCTCCAGGGCGAAACGAACCGAGCGCAGACCGGACGCAGAGAGACCCTCGAGCACCCGGAGACCCCGCTGAGAGAGAGAGAGGGGTGAGGGGAAGGGAGAGAGAGGGGTGTTAAAGGTGAATGGATTATTGTTTGGCCACAAAGGGGCAGCAGAGACAACATTGAGACATTTACATGTTGTAAGGATGGATGGATAGATGGATGTATAGAGAGATAGATGGATAGAGGGATAGATGTAAAGAAAAAAGAAAAACGGGGCTACAACGGAGCTGATCCAGATTTACGTCCGATATGACGTAATATCTGAAATGTGGACCCACGGCCCAATCAGAAACGTTGCATGGGTACCCGGTACCCGGCATTTTCTTATCGGTTCTCATCTGGAACCGAGTTTCGGTTCCCAACCCTACCCACGGCCCAATCAGAAACGTTGCTATCAGAAATAATGCCCGACTGTTTTGGACGTAATATGGTCGGTGTTTACATTAGCATCGCTAACACTCAGAGCTAACCTGTACTGGAGAGCATGTGTGTGAAGAAGCAGGAAGTAAAAAGGAACTCACCTTGTGGTGTAACCGGCAAGAGAGAAAGCCTTTGAGCTCCAGACTGTTTCAGATCCTTGATAATCCATGATATGGCGTTTCATCACGGCAGCATTTAGTTTAGACAGGCAAAGATAATAATAAAAGAATATATAATAATAATAATCAAATAAAGAAATCAACCCACTGTACCTCACATTTCTCCCCCACGGTTGCCGTCTCCATCGGGGTCTCCTCTCCGTTTTTCTCGTCCGTCTGAGCGTCGACCTCCTCCTCCTCCTCCGACAGAGACACCACCACCCGCTCCGTCTCCCCCGGCAACACCAGCTTCACCCCCCGCTGAGCGAGCACCTCTCTGGCATATTCTGTGAGCACCGCACATCTGAGGGGGAGGGGGGGGCATACATCTTATATATAAGCATGTACTGTGTATATATATCAAGACTTGGTGACTGATGTTAAACAGACAAATGTTGACAAAGTACAGACTGAGTGCTCACAACCATAGAAACAGGCTATTTTATTATTATTATTGTATCTGTGTTATTGTGTTGCACTGTTGGAGGAGCCTGTGACCTAAGATTTTCATTGATATATTTACACTGTAGCCAGACCCGGCGCCAGAACAAATCTAAAGGGAGGGCATACAAAACCGTCATATATATCAAACAGCAAGGCCAACAGACGCACACTTATCGCAAATACTTACACAAACAAAGGGCAACATAGAAACCACTTTGAAACAATAGGCGCATTTTCACACTGCGGTACTTTTCCCACAAAGGTTCATGTGAACTTAGTTCATGTGAACTCTTTTATCGCGTGCACACCAAAAAGAGCCGGTACTAAAATTAGTTCATGTGAACCTTTTTACCCCCACGAAAGTCCCTGCTAGAGAGCAGAGAGCTGCTAGAGAGCAGGGACTTTCGTGCGGCTCTCTTGTGAGAAAAGAGCTATATTTCTGATTGGCTGGAAGGATTGCAAACCACGCCCCGTAAAACTCCCAAAAAGTTTTGTGAAGCCGCCATTTTATTATCCTCGCATTAGCATTATTAGCATTAGCATTAGCCCAGCGCAGAAACGCAGAGAGACTAACTTATGGCAACACAAAAGAAAACATGGGAGTGGTGGAGATGAGGAGGTGTCGGCGTTCTGGCGATTTACTCGGAAGGCTTCAGTAGAAGCTGCTGGGAGTCCCAGCAGCTTCTACTGAAGCCAGTCCCCAACTCCGGGGACTTCCGGCCGGGGACTTTGGGCGGCAGTATACGCCGTGAAGTGGTTTGCGGCCTGCCAGTAAACCCAAAGCAGAAGAAGAACAAGTGACGTCAGCGGCTTCATTTGCCTAATCCTCCCCCAGGGACTTATTCCGGTGTGAACGCGATCTGTACTTAGTTCATGCGAACTAAAGAGTTCACATGAACTAAGTTCACATGAACCTTTGTGGGAAAAGTACCGCAGTGTGAATGCGCCTATTGTGTGCGTGGCAGCACAAACACTGGAGCAAGGCACACTGGTTACGGATGGCAGCTTCCTCATCGTTGCACTCGGAGAGAAATAGACGGAGACGATGAACTGGTTAGCTCTATGTCGTGAGAGGTGTGTGTTGCTGTGTGGGGAATGCTTTCCATTATTCTGGCCAACTCTGCATCTTTGTACTGCAGCGTATACTCAAACAGGAAGAGCCCACTGCCTGAGTCGGACATGCTGTGGAGTGAATCGTGGTCACCTCTGAGAGGGAGTTGGTTGACAGCTAAAAAAGCTATAATATCAACGACAGCTGACACGTAATAACGGCTCCGTGCAGCTGATCTGCACCAAAGCCCTCATTTCCTTATTTGTTTCCTCGCGTATCTGTCTCTCCACTTTGATGCGGCATGCCTTAGCAGTCCTTTATCAGTCTGTAATGCGTGTTTCCACAGGATTGTAGCTGACATCCTCGTGGATTCATCTTCTTATTACAGACACATGCATTTCCTAACATTCGGTCTATATGCTGTCAAATGTATTATCTCTTGGATTTACACACGGCATCTATTGCACGTCTGTCCGTCCTGGGAGAGGGATCCCTCCTCTGTTGCTCTCCCTGAGGTTTCTCCCATGTTCCCCTTTAAACTGAAGTTTTTCCTTGTACGATGTGAGGGTCTAAGGACAGAGGGTCTAAGGACACAGGGTCTAAGGACAGAGGGTCTAAGGACAGAGGGTCTAAGGACACAGGGTCTAAGGACAGAGGGTGTCGTTTTTCTCATACTGATATTCTGAACAATCTGTGTTGTTGTATTTGCTGTAAAGTGTCTCTACTGTAGGCTATTTTTATTGTATGTACAGCACTTTGGCTCCACCAAAAATCGTTTATAAATGTGCTATATAAATAAAACTTGATTTGATTTGATTTGATCTGATACAGACTGATCCAGATTTGAATTATTTTCTACGTCACAGAAGGGGTGCTCCGCTTATTGGCCAATTCTCCACCTATCAGGGGAATGAGAGTTTGGGCCACGGCCGGCCATTGCCGCTCGAAAGCGCTGGAGACGCTGTAGTACATATGCCAGGCCTGTAAGTGGGTTAGTGCTAGATCGTATACCTCCTGGGTTTTAGGCGGAAGTGACGTGATCTGCCACCGAGGACTAGAGACGTGCTATATAAATAAAACTTGATTTGATTTTCCAGTCGCAAAAACCTTTGACAGTAAAAGCCGCATCAGATGAAGACGTATTGACTTTAAACTGTCTACAGGGGAAACAAAAGGCTGCGTCTGCTTTTAACGAATCTTCAAGCCGTGGTCTGTTGTGTTCCATCCAGCGGCAAAAGTGCGCTTCTTTCCTGAAAACAATCTCCCTGGATAACGATCCTGTTTCACCTGGTTGGGTTTATTAACCCCAAGATCATCTGGGGCTGTTGGTCTTTGAGCGCTTGCTGGCCCAATAGCACCTGTTGATGTGCTGCAAGGTAGCGTCTGTAGCTGAGAGTGCTCTCAGCTAAAAAGCACTCAAATACCGCATTTAAAATCTGAAGAACTCAGTGTGCATCTAGACCGGGTGACGACACTACCTATTGACTCAGCAATCACTGTAAGTTATATTCTTGTTTAAATAGACTTCTCTGTTTCATGTATTCTACTCTGTATAATTGTTCTGTAGTTATTGTAGCTAAAACGGCGCTTTTGAGAGATTTTAAATCTCAGATCTGCTCAAGTGAACCTGTTACACAGGTCTCAGTGGGTCACTCAACCATGTATTACAATAGGCAGGAACGCTCTGCTGTCGCCCATCAGCTGTAGAGAGTTAACTAATTAGAGGGGCGTGGCCCCACAGCTGTCGGACAGCTCGGAGTCGGCTTGACTTGACACAAATGTGTTTAATCGTTAATGTCAGATGTACTAAGTAAATACATTTGTTCCTGCTCAAGATTAGATTCAACTTTATTGTTATTGCACAGATTACAGGTACTGAGACAACGAAATGCAGTTTAGCTTCTAACCAGGTGCAACAGGCAGTAAAGTGAAACAATGGCCGACTGTTTTGGACGTAGTATGGTCGGTGTTTACATTAGCATCGCTAACACTCAGAGCTAACCTGTACTGGAGAGCATGTGTGTGAAGAAGCAGGAAGTAAAAAGGAACTCACCTTGTGGTATAACCGGCCAGAGAGAAAGCCTTTGAGCTCCAGACTGTTTCAGAGAGAATCCTTGATAATCCATGATATGGCGTTTCATCACGGCAGCATTTAGTTTAGACAGTAGCTGCCAGGTCCCGCATAAGCTCCGCCCCCTCCTTTTATTTAAAGCTTTATATATATATATATATACACTCTTTACCGGTTCACTATGCTATTGCAAAACTGGGTGAGTTTGAATGAGAGAACGACCTAATTTGTGTGACAAGTGATTACAAGTTTAAAGATATCTCAACTGTACTTTATAAACCCAAGGAGACCCATGTCTGTCGAGTTGTGTATTTGTGTTTTCTTAATAATAAAAGCCAAAGCAGCCGATGTGCATTCTTACGTCAGATCTCTGTTGAACTCCTGCACCGGGTTGTAGAACACCTCGTTAGCGCTGGGGAACAAGATGGCCGCCTTGCCCTCCTTCACCACCGTCTCCCCAGGTAAGAGTCCAACAGGAGGCGTCTTCTTCTCCTCCTCCTCTGCTGCCCCACATTGAGCCGCTGTGGGAGGGGGAACCTCAGAGGAAGGGTTCAGAGGATCCATGGAGCTCAGGCCTCTGCTTCTGAAGATCCAGGGAAACGTCCGTGCGGCTGGGAGCAAGCAGAGAGGATGATGGGAGATGATGAAGGAGAGAAGACGAGCCGTCAGCATCAAGATGCGACACCTGGGAGAGAAGAGGACACCAAGAGGTTTTTAAGAGTTTGCAACAAGAACTTAGATATTGTACTTATGTAAACGTAGTAATAATGCAGTACCAGCTACTTCTAGATTAGTATACGGCCGTTTTAAATGCAGTGAAAATCAAGTCGTATAGCGGAGTGTTATTTAAAGTATAATGTAAATATATCTGACAGTATTTACACTTTGAACCTTATAGATCAGGTTTAAGCATATACATTATAGATAATATGAATAAATATGATAGAGACAGATGAATTATTAAGCGATGATTTACTTGATCTAAGTAATCCATACAACAAAATACATTGACATAAAGCAGAGATCTTCAGATTACTAGAGAACATTTTCCCTTTTAAGAATTAAATAATTTAGTGAGGTTTTACTTGATTACTGTTATAATGATTTGACTAGTAGGTAGGTAGGTAGGTAGGTAGGTAGGTAGGTAGGTAGGTAGGTAGGTAGGTAGGTAGGTAGGTAGGTAGGTAGGTAGGTAGGTAGGTAGGTAGGTAGGTAGGTAGGTAGGTAGGTAGGTAGGTAGGTAGGTAGGTAGGTAGGTAGGTAGGTAGGTAGGTAGGTAGGTAGGTAGGTAGGTAGGTAGGTAGGTAGGTAGGTAGGTAGGTAGGTAGGTAGGTAGGTAGGTAGGTAGGTACAGACAGAGAGACAGATACATTTAGCTTCTGTAATTAAATCAGTGTTGATACTTGAGTCATCATCAAACCTTCAATTCACATTATTATCAAAACGCAAAAACAGCCATCTTCAGATGACTAACATGAGAATAGTTTAGATTTGAGAGATTATTTAGTGAGGATTTACTGTTAATAACAACAATCACTAAAGGGAATACATGAAGCTAATGTGTGTACTCTGTAGCTTCAGCTGCTTATATCTTAACAACAGCAATACCATGTGGAGTGACAACATGTATGGCTCAATGAAAGAAAGCTTTTGCATTTTTAACCAAGAAACACATGATATATGTATTATTTAGAGAGGAATTACTCAACTCACTATGAATGACAGCAAGCAGCAGTGTAGTAAACCAAGTGAATACATGAGACTAATGTGAGTAATCTGTAGCCTTAGCTCCTTGTCTTTTAACACAGCAACAACATGTGGAGTGAACACATTTATGACTCAAAGAAAACACTTTTTTTGTATTGTTAACACATAAATAAATGATGTTACTTCACACCAAGGTATTAGCTCCTTTGCTAACGATGCTAACCCTTACAAACAGATTTACCTGTGACGCCTCCCTGCACGCGGACACTGCTCTTCTAATGTTGCAGGTGTGTTTATGATGTTAAAGTTATTTAAATGAACAGACAGGTTTCTGCTTCCTCCCCGCTTCAGTACACACTCCTGCTTCCTCTCACGTTAGCACATGGAGGTCGCCATGTTTTGGAGCGTCTCTACGGAAGCCTGAGCGGCCAGGAAAAGCGAAGGAAGGAGAAAAATCTACAAAATGTATTTTGTAGACATATAAAGTAATACAAATGTGCTTTAAAAATATATATATCTATTTGTTGAATACGCAACTAGTTTTGATTGCCATTTTATGTATAATGTGAGTAGAAGTACTCAGATCTTGTACTTGAATAAGTAAAAGTACTCAGATCTTGTACTTGAGTAAAAGTAGAATCTTGTGCTTGAGTAAAAGTAGAAGTACTCAGATCTTGTACTTGAGTAAAAGTAGAATCTTGTGCTTGACTAAAAGTAGAAGTACTCAGATGTTGTACTTCAGTACAAGTAGATGTACTCAGATCTTGTACTTGAATAAGTAAAAGTACTCAGATCTTGTACTTGAGTAAAAGTAGAAGTACTCAGATCTTGTACTTGAGTAAAAGTAGAATCTTGTGCTTGAGTAAAAGTAGAAGTACTCAGATATTGTACTTGAGTAAAAGTAGAAGTACTCAGATCTTGTACTTGAGTAAAAGTAGAAGTACTCAGATCTTGTACTTGAGTAAAAGTAGAATCTTGTGCTTGAGTAAAAGTAGAAGTACTCAGATATTGTACTTGAGTAAAAGTAGAAGTACTCAGATCTTGTACTTGAGTAAAAGTAGAAGTACTCAGATCTTGTACTTAGTAAAAGTAGAAGTACCAGAGTGTAGGAATACTACAGTAAAAGTCCTGCATTCAAAATGTTCCTCAAGTAAAAGTAGAAAAGTATTCTCATCAAAATATAGTGAAAGTAGCGACAGTGAAAGTAGTCGTTGTGCAGATTGGTCCATTCCAGAATAATATATATGATATGTTTTATAATGATTGATCATGAAAGTGTTCTCAAAGCTGGTGAAGGTGCAGCTAGTTTGAATGAGTTTGTATACTGCAGGGTAGCTGGTGGATTTACTCCAGGTGGAACTAAAGTCTGATTCAACACTTGATCATATTTCACACCATTCATCCACATCTGTGAAGAAACTAAAGGTATTAAATACATGTAGTGGAGTAGAAGTACACCGTTTACCTCTGAGCTGTAGTGGGGTAGAAGCACAAAGACTCAAGTAAAGTGCATCAATATATTCTGCTATAATGTGACACTTTGTATGAAATTCCTCATGTGTTTAATGGAGCATTTTTCTTGGTAATGTCACCTGCTATTAAAAAGCCCTCCGACAGAGTGCACGGTGTAACGTAAGGACAGGAAAGAGAGGCTCGATGCACATGTGAACACATCAGGCCTCATGAATAATCTAATTTAATCTCACGCTGCCTGGAGTTCGTGATGCATGCGAACGACGAGGCTAAACATAGCCATTGTTGGATTAACCAAAACAACTCATGATGTGATCAAATCAGGTCAAAGCAGGTCAGCGGCTGTAATGGGGGAAAAGTACGTAAATGTAGGTTATACAGTATGTTAGATACTCTTCTTTTGCTATATTTAATTGAATAACCACATTGCAGATACGAGGCCAGGTGTTTTAAGATAGAAAAAGAGTACACATTGTAGAGATGGAGAGGTCAATAGGGGAGCGGCAGCTTATAGGATTTTAACACCTGCTGTGTGAAATAGGTTTTCTACAGTTTTTTATTTGTATTTAACTTGACTTTATGCAACTTCTATTCCACCACATTTGAGTTGCAAATATAATACTATATTCTCAACTTCCCCTTCATTTTTTAGGGGCAGTTTCATTAGTAATTAGCAGGTTTATGTGAACATAAATATTTGCGATAATGAAACCTAACATTAGGAACTATCTAAATTAATAAAATGCTGGTATTTGAAGTTCAGTGTGTTCAAATGAGACACAGTAAGGCCCCCTTAGGTGCATGCTTAAAACAGCATTTTCACTTGAATATTCACCTAAAATATTTGTTTAAAGAAACAATGATTGAAAAGAGAGTTGAGGTGCGGATATTAGTGGGACTTGCAATCTCTGTGTAGAAAATCCTGGCTGATATTAAGGTTGTATACATCAGAATACTTCTTCTCTGTCTTTAAAATGCATAAATGCATGATCTAGCCAACACTGAAAAGCAATATGCATCCAAGTATCTCACATTCACTGTCACCATCTCCCACGCTGTGTTATTTAACAGCTTCCATTTCCCCATAAAACAGCACATGCATGACAGTGGGAGAAACACAATGCCTGTGCAGACTGAACATCTGGAGGGGGCGCTGTGACCATAAATGCCCATAATGATTTATTATGTTTGATCTGCTACAATAAAATGGTGCTGACAATAAATACCAATACATTTACATCAACAGCCAATCTTTAACCTGCATAATAAGTCCTACTTTTGGTATTAATTTATAATTTTGTTGATAATAACTAGGCTTATCGTAGCCCACTTCCAATTAACATTGAGAACTAACTACAATTAGAGCTCATTGGTTTATAAACTCGCCCCTAAGTGTGGTTACATGTAGATTATGACAGCAAAATAATGATAAAACAGACACTTCAGAATTGTATTTCTGCCACATTTCGACTGCATGTCCGGGAATAATTGAATATTTACAAAAAGAAGTCAAATGTGATTTCAAAAAAGTATGTAAGGGTTGTGGTGTGGAGATCGTAGGACTCCTGATCTCTAAAACATAGTATTGCTTAATGTTCTTCCACTGCCTCTTAAATAAAAATGCATGATCCTCCACTGAAAAGCCATATACATCCAAGTATTTCACATTCACCGTCATCACCCACCGCCACGCTGTGTTGTTTAATAGATTCCATTTCCCCATAAAACAGCACATGCATGACAGTGGGAGAAACACAATGTGCCTCTCTGTACTGTACTTACTGTACGAGTACTCATGTAACTGCTTTTCAACTTAAATGTTAACGATTATGAACAGTTACCTAAACATGATTGGAGGTTGGTGGTGTGAATGTTGGGGGACATGTGACCCATACAATCCTGGCTGATGTTAATTTGTATCACTTGAAATCTTCTTCCGGTGC